GCAACCAATGTCATAAATTGTAAAGATGAGAACTGAGTTAAGACAGTTCCTGGTTTTATAATTATAATTTTAACTGTATATTGGATTTTATATTTAATATGGTATTAGATTGTTTTTATGAAATTGAAATGGCCAGAAGGCTAATCAATAAAGATTGACTGACTGACTAAGAAATCATGCAAACCACAAAAACAAGATTTCATCTTCCATAAGGTAGATAGACCTCAATTTTAATGAATTATAAGAGGAAAAAGCTGAAAACATTTTTTTTTTCTGCATGGGAAATAAAAATGTACCATACAAATAGTTACATGGTTTCCACATCATTCTTATCGACATATAAGACTCTTTAGAGCCAACTGCAATATATCATGCTTTTTTATCATTGGTGTTTTAGTTGTTGTTAATAGCATTAATAACCTACAACACTGAAGAATAAATACAAGATGAATTTATTAAAAACACAATGGAAACAAACTACAATAACAATAACCCAATGATAAAAAATACTTTTAAAACAACACAGTGATGCAGGAAAAATATCCTCTTTATGTGCCTAACAAATGAACTATTGTGGGCAAGAACATCTGAGACAGATGGTTTCTTAGAGCCAGGCTTGAATCAGCTTTTTACAATCTGGGTGCGCTTCTGATGAAAGGACTTCCACTCCCACAATTCCAGCCAGCATGGACATTGCTGAGCATTCTAGGAGTAGAAATCCACCTAGCTGAAGGATATACATATTGGGAAAGCCTGTCCTAAGACATTTACAGTACAGCTTTAAACATAAAGTAAACTGGGAAGAGAAAACAATTAGGCAGATCTTTTAGTGTAAAGATTGTATTGTTCTGTCACCATCTATCAGTTAGCAGCTCATTACCCCATAAGCTGCATCAAATAAACTTTTCAGGATTATCTTTAAAAAATTGCTCCATCCAGAACATATTGCAGTAGTCTGGTCTTGATGAACCAAAGCAAAGGTAACTGTTAGCAGGTGTTGGCTCGGGAATAGTTGCAAACAACATACTAAACACTCTTTAATATATTTTGATATTTGGAAATGATAATCAGGAATACTTTCAAGTTGCAATCCTGATCTTTCAAGAGGAGTACAATTACTTTCAGAATTATTTTAATCAAAGTCTCTTTCAATTGACCAATAATATCACTGTCTTATCTGGGTTTAATCTCAATTTGTTCTGCTTTATCCAGCACATTGTTTAATCCAGGCAATATTTTCTGGTGTCTTAGAGTTACTTCCTTTAAGGATGTTGTTACTGTTACCATTCTTTGAGAAAATCTTGACTCCTGATGACTATGTGGACAGGTCCATGAAGTTTTCTTGGCAACATTTCAGAAGCAGTTTGCCAGTACCTTCTTGCTAGGGCTGAGAGAGAATGGCTGTCCCAAAGTCACTCAGCTGCTTTTCATGCCTAAGAGAAAACTTGAACTCCCTGCTCCTAGTCCAGCACCTTTTGCATATGTGCCTTCAAGTGTTGACCCTTGGAAATTACCTGGACAAGTCCCTGCAATTTTCTTGGCAAGATTTCAGAAGGGGCTTTCCATTGCCTTCTTCTAGGACTGAGAGAGAGTGACTGACCCAAGGCTACCCATCTGGCTTTGTGCCTAAGGTGGGACTAAAACTCAGAGTCTCCCAGTTTCTAACCTGGTGTCTTTAACCACTACACCAAACAACACCTTTTACAGCTCACCAGGCTGGTCTTTTTTTAAGGATAAGAAAGCATCATTCATGAGGCAAATTCCACCTTAGTAAGGACTGTGTTAACAACTGGTACACCTTGATAAGGCCTGAGTTAATAACTGGTAGCCCTCTTCTCTTCAACCCCTTTGATTCCTTAAAACTTACAAAGTAAATATAAAACAACTGGGCAATTTATTGCCATATCAATCTGACAACCTTTACATTGGAGTCTAGATATACAAAAATAGCTTTTAGCAGAAAGTCTGAAACCTGGGCCAAGAAATTAATGTCCCTTGCCTGCTGATATTCTGTTAGAATTTTGATAGGAGATATTTCCTAATTGGAAGAGTTTGAATTATTTAATAATTTTTCAAACTTTTTCTTTTCTGTGATTCAGATACTCTCTCCACTTAATATGCTAAAAATATATTATATAAGAAAGCAATGTTGGTATTTAATAAATTGAAAACAAGAAAGACTGAATCACATATGAAGAGTTCTATACCTTTGAAAGTGACATCTCAAATACTGAAGAACTGTAGCCCAACAGCGTTTAAATCTCCTTGCAAAGAAGAGCAACTGAACAGACAGAGTAGAAGACTGACAGTAGCAGATGCAGACTTACCACTTGAACAGTTCGGCCCACCCCAACCAGGCTCACACTGACAGGTGTTTGGAGCAATGCAACGGCCATGAACACATTTATCAGCACAGTGAGCTGTCAAAGAAACAGGGTGAGTGAAACACATAATGAAAAATCAGAAAGAATAAAAACACTGAAGGTGCAGGGACTAATAGCTTTTCTGCAACCTAGCCATTTCCAGTTTCCTCTTAAAAATAAGAGGCTAGCTTATTCATTTTTTTAAAATTTGTCTTCTACATTTCATTATTCTATCACCCATCTGTACACATTTGTTTACTAATTGTTCTAGTCTTTATCAGTTTGCTTCCTTTTTCTTCAAATTCTGCTAACAAAACAAAAACAAATAAGGAAAGAAAAACTTTAGCCCTGTAAATAAAGTTTCCAGTGATGAAAAACAAGGAACAATAGTATTAACTAATATTAGCAGGAAGGGTTTTTTTAATCTAAATTTCATATCATTAGTACAGATCTTTCTAATCATTGCCTAGTACTGAATTCATAATCATTACTTTAAAGATTACCATTCCTAAAATATAAATGCATCCAAAGATCAGAAACGTCTCCTTCCATCTTTTCCATATTTTATGTCCTGCTAAATTCATGTAAAATATATACTCTATACAAAAGACAATTCCCTGGTAAATAATCTTGAATAGAAACTTCTGAAAATGGTTGTGTTTCAAATAGTGTTAGGTCAGTCTGCAAAGAGCAATGCAAACAGCCTCCTGCCCCCTCCCTTTTCTATTTATATTATCACCTCTTTTATTCTTTCATCATTTTTGTGAAATAATGCAAATATAAATTAATAATGTTTTTAACACTGTGAGAGTCTGAGACTGTAGTGGTAATAACTCAAGTACCTTAAGTTAAGTTTTGGTTTTGATGCCCTAGGAAGCATTTAAAGACAGCACAGCTGCTAAGGGATAAGTCACAAATTAGAAGCAACTATAAGGATATTCATATTGAGGTTCAGCTGAAATGAAAATTTTATGAAGATAAAAGGATGTGTTTTTATCATAAGTCACCAATACATTTTAAGACTAAATGTAAAATATGTTAGGAGGATGCTGGTCTTCTTTAAAGAGTAATGTCTAAAGTCTTAAGAAAATATAGCATGAGACCATTAACCTGTTTGCTAAATTTGAAATTATTAAAAAAAGCCCTTCTAACTAGCTGATATTGTCCAATAATACATATTTGTCTCTTGTTTCAGGCAGATGCCTAATTTCCATAGGTTAATAATATTTGACAATGTGCAGAGTAAAAAAATCAGCATATGTTGTTCTTTCCTGTTATAAGATAAACTATTCTAGAACAAGATCCATAATTTTGGGGGGATTAGTGGTACATTTTGTATTTTGGAAGCAAGGGCTCACATAAAATGGATGCCATGTAGGACATGGCTAATAGAAAACATCCATAAGATTGCTCACTGTCATACTGTCTAAAGTCCCAAGATTCTTTCCATTATTTCTGTGCTTTCAAATATAGGATTGCACTAGAACACATTGCCATATTTCTTTTCTAATTATAGGATAGGATATATGCAGGATCCAAAAGCATTTTTTAGAAATATTTTGCTTGACTTCTGGAGGAGGTATGGTGAACTGACCATGGCAAAGAACAAGGAACTGGTGAGTGGACCAGTTCCTTGGAACCTTTCTGAATTAGGAGAGGACAGGAGATCACCCACATCTGCTCTGGACAGCTGCTCTTCACAACGAGACCCTAGGACAGCAGTTTTCAGTGGGTATGAGCGCCAGATGTCGGGATAAGTCATTTTGCTTGCAACAGCAGCAGAGACTTTTAAAGGATGCTAAGTTTGCAAACCTCACTTTCTAATCACTTTCAGAAATTACTCATTAACTACTTCTAAGTTATTAGAGACCTTCAGAATGACAAGTTTGTAAATGCCAGGTGAGTTTGCCTTCAATCCTGAATGAAATGACAGACATAGAACAAATTTTATCTGATAAGATAGAGATGGTATCGAAAGTGGATTTACAACTGACAGGCCAAATTAATGGCTTAGAAAAGAATGTTTCACTGGAACTACAAAAGAAACTGGCTGATGGCCTTCGACAATACATCAAACTGGCTGATGTTTTAAAATTTAAAATGAAAAACCAAGAGAGTGACCTGGATAATTTTTTTCATATTGGATTTACAAAAGAGGCTTGTTAAAGCTTTGAAGAACTCTGTGCGATGGGACAAAGAAGAAATGAAGAGAAATTAAATCCTACAACAATATTTGAATGACCTAAAGATTAAGATTGTTAGAAGTAAAAGGAAGGAATATAAAGTTGGTTTGTTTGATCAAGGTTAAAACAAGATATGTTGTTACTTCTGGCACTCCTATATGGACTTTCTGCTACAGGACTTAAAAGGTGATGTTTTATGGATTTGTTTATTCATAAGAAATGGGATATGGCATGAAGAGATAAATGTTTGTAACCTTAGAGGGGGTGAAAAGTCACTAAATTTCTTTATACTTGTGATAAAAGTTGGAAATAACTTCTTTATATATTTCTTTTCTCTTTATTATATTCTTATTTTTCTCTTCTCTTTTTCTTTTTTGTCTTTTTCCTTGTACTTTTTACTCCTCTCCATTTCCTTTTCTTTCTTAGTTTGTATTAGATTTTACTATTATAATCAAAATTCTTAATAAAAATTATATATTTAAAAAAAGAAATAAAGATTTAGCTTGAGGCTGACAAATTTTTCTCATCACGCTAGATTCTCACTTAAAAATAAATAAATAAATAAAACAGTATGAAAATACAAAATTGGGTGAAGTATGGAGCCTGGCAAACATTAAAAATGTTGCAAGGAACAGGACGGAAACTAAGAAAAAGGGGTAGGGGTGTTTTAGGAGTGGAGGGAGGCCCACAATGCAGAGGTTCCTCATCCCCATTTCAGTTCAAAATTTATGTGAATCAAAGGAGACACGCATTGGAAGGAAAATGTTGAGAAACCAACTATGTTGCTCTCCCGATGTATTGGAGTATAATTGGAGTATAAATTCCTCAAAAGCTGTGAGCCTACAAAATCCCAACATATCTGAAGGATAGTAGGTTAAAAATGTTGAACTGTGAGTCACTTCAGGCCACATGAAACAGTGGAAGAGAAAGAGGCTAGCGATAAAAATCCCATTTGTGTCCTGGAAATAAAGTGATTTTTTAATTATTATTAAAAAAAAAATACAAGCAGGTGGGACCATTATGGAAATGGTCTCTGAGAATAATAGCTTTCTATCATACCCTTCTCACAAACAGTGTTTGTGAAATCTAAATCATTTTTCCTGTATAAGAAGAGACCCTGGTTTTGTCCTCAGTTGCTACGCTGACCTATGTCTAAAATAAAGAATATTCATTCATTCATTCATTCATTCATTTATTCATTTTGTTCTTAGTTGGTTAAGAAAGACACTATCCATTTTTAATCTTATGGTAGTATCCCCTGACTGACTGACAGCTGAAGAAATAATCAGTGACTCTTCTAATTCTGGCACCAGAGATGCTAGACAAGAAGTCAAAACTGCCAACTGGAGCTGTCAGTCAAAATTATGCACACATTAGCACTGGCACTTCACTTTGAAAAAAGAAGAAAAAGAATGCAGAGAAGCCTGCATTTAAGCCACAAAAAGGTGAACTAAACCTCTGAAATGCTGAAGTCAGGACAAATGGAGTGCAAGTTCTCAAAACACCTCATAAGAAGGTCTATTTGGTCAAAAGCAAACCAGGTTTGTTTCTTCAAGATTCAGTGTTCTTGTATAAGATAAAAATAGGGATCCTAAAAGTGCATGACTTTTTGCTGGCAATTGTAATATTGAAGGAAAGGCTTAAATATTACCTCATTTTCTGTCTCTGTTTAAAAATATCAATATATGTGTAATTTTAGGTACACATCTTAGAAAACTATATGTTCTTTTAAAAGCCTTCCAACTTAAACATAATTTAAATTCTGTACTTCCACACTGGCTATTTTCAAACTCTAATAGGAGTAGCAATCATAGTCTTTTTTTTTTTTTACTTAGCTTTTCCATATAAGTACACTTGAAGTGATGCTGTGGAACAAGATGAAAACAATGCATTCCCATTCATGTTAAAGACAAATCAAAACATTTTTACAGTAAAACATCAACATCGAAACAAATATAAGTTCTATTGGGTTTGTGCCAGAATCTGCCTCCTTACTTCAGGAATTTTCTAAGGCAATGCATTTTTTTCTACTATATGAACAGTCATTGTTGCCAATTCTGTTTTATGAAATCTCTTTCAAATCCCAAAATCTGTTCAAATTGAGCAATTTAGTAGAACAAGAATAGAACAATGGGAGATTTACCCCTGGGGGCTGCAAAAGAGAGGAAAACAACTGAAAATCTCCCTTCCTTCCTTTCTGCCAGGAGAAATGAGTACTCTGATCCAACCTATAGCTGGAAAAATCAAAATGAAACATACTCTGTCCTTGACACAAATGTTAATATTCGAAGACTTTTGAAGAATTTCAGAAGGAAGCAAAACCCAGTGCAAACCAGGTAATGGTGTGACATGGTAAAGCAACCTCTGCCCTCCATATATGAGAAACTGCAGAGCCCCCTACTCTGGTGACAATGAAAAACAAGAATGTTGAAAGTATTAACTACCTTCTTGGGGGAAGTGAAAAGAATTTAGCTACAATTTTCCAGAATAATGTAAAAAATATATGGCAATACAGTGCTTTGTATTTGATCTCCAGAAGGTGATTCAATATGTGCAGAACCACTAATAGGACACCTGTGTGCACCACCTTAAAGCAACCAAATTTCATGGATGCTTTAAAATGTCGCAGACAAGTAAAAATAACACTGATAATTGAATTCATGTGTAATATATATTTTGAACTGTAGAAAGATATCGCTGCAACTGCATACTTTATCCTAGGCCAGATACCAGATAGGAAATATAAGTATTTTTGACAGCAAAGAATTTATCTCTTTTTTAAAAATTATGACTTGCCCATTTCAAATGTCTCTGAAAATTTACACTAAAATTAGTTTTCTCTTCCATGTTAGAGACAACTCTGTACATGCAAGAAATAATCAAGTTCTATAGAGGCACAATTTAATTGTGTGCACTGAAACTCCTAGGCATCTGAAAGAGCTGATGGTGTGTGTGTGTGTGTGTTTATGTATATATATCAGTATCCTTTTAATTAATTATATGTTAATCTACAATTACTAACAAGACATTTCTCAATATCTAGGCTGTATGTTAATGTAAATAGTTCTAATCTTAATTTGAATCTACTTTTTAAAACTCTTTTTAACAAAGGCTGGTTGGGTAGTTTTCCAACTGGAATTGCCAGCTGCAGCTATGGGACAATAAAACAAGAAAATCCATTTTTTAAAAAAAGAAAGCAATGGCAGGGAGAAAGGACATTTAGCATCATGCAAGTATATGTTTCTGATTGACCAGCAGGGTTGTTTTAATGCAGACTGTGGAAGAGTCCTTTGCACAGTGCAGACTGATAACTACTGTGCCCCCCCCCACATCAGTTAGTGTCACATAAACACCCCATACCTGTAAACCACCATGCTAGTCCCGCTGCTTTTCTAAGAGACATATTGTTTTTTGGGAAATGCTTATTAACATTCTCATTAACATACTATCAAGAGCTGCATATTCTTGTGAAAATAACTTTACTTACGAATGCACATTTCCCTGCTTTCATAAAAACCGGGGCAACACTGAGATTTCCGTCTGTACATGGTCTTTTCTCCATGCCTATAGGCAGTTCGGTAGCTGATTCTGTTAAAACATGAACATATAAAATTTGTGAACAACTATTTCAAAAGACCAGCTATGGCTATTTAAGGATAATCTGGATTGTTCTATAAATCAGCTACATCCTTTACAAAGAAAGATAAACAACATTACCTGCAAATAGAGATACTTTGTTAAGATCCATCACAAATACTGCAGAACTGCAGCTTACTCTATATGGATTTATGAACTGCATCTGTTATTAAATATTTTAACTAATGAACTGGTACAATTCAGATCGATGTTTAATTTTTAGGTGCACAAAACCATTGTCAGACAATGAAAGGACAGAAAGAATAAAGTGTACTTTTCCCATGTGTCACAAAGTTTACAAATGCAAAACTTCTTAAAACTCAAAATGACTCAACAACAACAAAACTTCGGTGTTGTTCAAAAAGAATCAGTAAATAAATACATGCACAGATGAGGCCACATGTTCACTTCTGCACCATATGAGGGGCCCATTAAATACAGAGTACTTATACTACAGAACTACTTGACAATTTCTATTCTCAAATAATAATATTATTTCTCTTCTACTGTAATTATCTTTTTAGAGGAAGAGAAGACCTTTGCAAGTCAGACAACCCTCTTTAATCTCGTAATGCATTTCAAAATTCAAGACAGTATTTTCAAGGCTATTTTACAGAAGATGATTTATACATGTAAGCACTTATATACCTATATATAAATATCAGTGGCATCTGATATTTATATATAGGTATATAGGTGCTTATATCTGATTCTGCAAATGCAAGCAACGTGTTACTGTGCTTCAGTGTGTTTTCTACTGTTTTTAACATGCAGCAGCTATTAAGTACTTACAAAACATCACTTTAAAAGGGTAATCAAACAAAGTTACTAAAAATCACCTGTGTCGTGTACACTTAAACCAGTTCAGTATGTCTGTGCAGCTGGTGTAGTAAATCTGATCAAAAGGATGGGGATAGGATTCTTGCACTGTAACAGAATAACTGCACAGAAAAAATAATAAAATTATTAAACATGCACTTTGACTAACTAAAGAAAGTTCAGTAGGATGGAAATAAAGGTTCAGAGGCATTATTGCTGAGTCAAAAAAATTACATTTTTTAAAAATACAAGTGGATGCTAGATGCTCAGTAACACGAGCATCTTTTGTAAATGTATTATTTCTGGGCTTCGAAATCCCAACTGTTTGGGAACAGAAAGCTGGGCCACATAGGCTTTTTATCTGTAATTCATCATTTCATAGGTCTTTTCATATTCTTAATCTAAAGGTATTTTTAATCCAAAGATATTTTTAATCAGTTCTTTTTCTATAAGCTATGAATGAATGGTACACTTTTTTGTTGTTCTTTCTGATCTGAGTTTTTCTATAAAGAAGTAATTTGGTGTGCCAGAAGGCCCTGGTAGAAACAAAGCATCTAATTTTAGCCAGGTATTACAAAAACATTACTGTAGTTCCTTAGATAATATTTCCTACCTTACCTGTCATGTGCAACTAGAATTTTCCTAATAGCTTCACCCAGTGGTTGGCATCTTCAGCATACATTAAAAATGTCATTAATCATTAGGTCACTTTGTACAACTAACAATGTTACTTAAAATTTATTAATATGGAATATGTAAAGCTGCAGTTAGATGACAGGCACGTATACAGTTATTATGAAAATAAAACATTCATGTAACTAGAGAATAAGTTCAATATGTAAAATTTAAGAAATAAAATCATACTTCTACTTTCCAAAACGTTAGCATTTTATGTTACATCGGGGGGCAGCATGTTGCCAACCTTGCTGGTTCCCGCAAATTTCAGCAGTGTCATACCCTGTTACAGCTTGGATGAAAGACCGCCAGGAAATTCCAGGGCTATATATTAGACTGGAAAATTGAAAACCCATTCCGGAAGAAGGCACTGGTAAGCCACTTCCATCTTGCTGCCAAGAAAACTGCATACTGTCAACATGAGGCAAGCTCCGTGCAAGTGAGTTTTTATCTTTTCAAGCTTATGCAGACAATTTAGTCTTTAAAAGATTTTTTTTTAAATACACAATTTCTTACAAATCCAACAAGAGCTTACTCACTTCATATCCCAACTGTTTATGACAACCCAGGAAAGTGAAGCCCATGCCATGTCAGTTTAGACAAATGTAAGTCCCAGACACTTGAATAAGATGCAGATTGCAGCCTTTAGCTTGGAATTCTGCTTTTTTTATTCAGATACAAGATTATTTCTATGCACTCAATATAATGGTAAGTATTCTATGAGACTGCTGAAGATACAAGCAGCCATAAAGTTCATATATGATAATTTACTTATGTTGCCTACTATGAATTCCAGTTCAACTGTGGTTTTTTATGTTATTCCATCTTTCCACACCCTTGAATAGGGGAAGTCAGATGAAAGGCTACTATACTTAGAAATAACCACTAGCCAGTTTCACAGTTTTTTATTTCGTTTCTTTCAACCAGATTGTGTTAGAATGGTTTATAAAAGCAAAAGAAGATGACACATTCTGCTGATTCTGCTTCTTCCATTTATGAGCACAAGGACATCCCCAGAGAATTTAGAAGAGAATTCAGTTATTGATCACATCAAAAATACAAACAATTATTATGCAACATTATAGGGAACGTCTGATTTACTTTTACATTATTAAATACTATTAAATAATAATATTTATTATTTTAAAGACATACAATGAAATGGTGGATATTATTGTTGTTGTTGTTATTTTGCAAGGCTGGTATTCTGGTAAATAATCGCTAAGGCATGTGAGGTAAAGTGCTTAAAGCGTTGGGTCATAACTTCCTGGCTTGATCAAGCAAAGCTTGGAGTGAGTTCTGACAGAGCTCCTGCTTGTGGGGCACATTTTATAGTCTGCATACTCAAAGTTGGATCACTGTCAGAACTTACTCCTAGTCTGCCGGGACAACCCAATTGCAACATCAAATTTTCTACAGTTACTTCTATAAAAAGCAAATATGCTTAAAAAGTAAAAATGGAACAAGACAATGTTTACCTTGTGACATATTGTCAGCCCCAATAGGTAGACCAGACCAGAAATCAACTCCACAGGAAACCTAACACTACTTTCACTGAAATTGGCTATAAAAACAGAATCTTTCAAGTCCGACCGTGCTGTATCTCCTCCTCCTTCTTATACTTCAGTGAATTAGGGAGGTATCTGCCTGAGCTGAACATTACCTCATTGTTCTGGATTTAAAAATGTTTCAGGCCCTTTTTGCCTTCATAACAGTTCTTGCATATTTCCATCAAGGTCATCTTCCTTTTGCTCTCTATACATACATGTACCTATCTATACATCTGCCAGAAGCCACGTATAAAAAGGACCCAAAAATAAATTTAGGTCTATAGTTAAACAACAAACTTATGATGAATTAATAATGAGTATATTAACTGCCCGTAAAACAAGATGCAGTGGCTCATTTATAACTGATCCCCATCTGTATATATACCAATCATTCTCTCTCACACACAGAAACATGTCAGTACATGCACACACACATTCTTTTCTCTGAGGCATCTTTTTGGCTTCTGACTCCAAAGCACTGAAGAGGCAATTATTTGTAGGGCTTACTAGCAGGTGAGTATGTTATAAACTGTTTATTTCTGAATATTTTGTTTCTTTCTGCCATAATAAATTAATTAAGCAACGTTTCAGTATAGATTTTAAAGCTTCACAGTAGTAACTCAGGGGCTTCTAATAGGGCTAATATGCTAAATATACAACCCCCCCCCAGCAATTTAAATAGATTAAAATAGATTATGTTTATGTTATTTGTAATTTTTACTGTATACTTTAAACGTATGTATACTTTATACATACCTTGTTTTATACCTTTTATTCCTTGTTTTAGTAGTTTCATTATATGCCATTCATATAAATACACACACATACACACGCACAGCTTGGTTTTATATTTTTTTCAATATAGTCATTTCATAATATGACCCATGGCTTGCTATTATGCATGTATCACAAATTTTACATAAAAATTAATTAAAATAACCAAAATTAATTAAAATAACCATACTAACAGAATTTCATGACTATTTATTAATAGTTATGTTACCTCTCCCAGTGGCTACACACATTTGGATCCTCAAGATTTAGAGAGATAGTTGAGACTATCCAATGGTGCAAAAGCATGAGTGTGAAATGAACAAAGGTGTCCAAATAAAGAACCATCTTTTCAACACAAATGCCTGTAAAGAGAGAGAGAGAGAAAAAAGGTTTGCTAATATTATGGCCACGTACTATACAAGCTATTATAAAGGCATAAACATTGGTGTAGACAACTAAAATCAGCCCCCTTGTGCAATAGGATGAGAAAACCTGCTTCACGCTGCATCTTAAAAAAAGAATAGAAAGCAAGAAGTGATTGTGAATGATGTAGTACAACCTCAAACGCTCAGGTATCAAAGAGATGCATTAAATTTTAGCCACATTCTTCTACCTAAACTGTATGTTGGTTTGGCAAGGACACCTGTTTTACTGACGTGCAAGAGTTCAGAAATTAACATTATATCTTTTACTGCCTGTCTGTATTTTATGAAATGACCTAGCAATTTCAAGTTGAACTATAACTTTATTTATTTACAGTAACAAACTATATCAACTGCTCAGTCCTTAATCTGCTTTTCCTAATCAAAATTTCACTCTCCGGCTAAATTCCAGAGATTTGGGGAAGTGATTGTCAGCTCATCCCAGATTTGCTGGCTTCAGAGTTATAGTTAAATATAATATAGTTAAATACCCCAGCCCTAAGGTCAGATAAGGGGGGAAGAGGATAGAATAAAGAAAAGGAAACTAGTTAGGGAGGGAGTAAACTCAGAAACCTATTAAGACATCAATTTTGAGTGTAACAGATGAGTCCATTTATTCCAGTTTCTGCAATGTACATCAAGCAAATTGTGGTTGTTTGCTTCTGTTTTCAATTTCTCAGAACTTAAATTTTGTGAATTTATTCCCATCCTCATGTGCACAAATATTTTAAAGCAAAGATCATAACTGTAATTTTTGGATTCAGACATAAATTGGGCCTGATATTACTGACTGCCTGATTTGCAGTTTCTCACAAAACATTTTTTATTAACTGTGTAAATTCATGTATGACGACAAACCATGATCTTAAATTATCTCTAAATGTGGCAGTATCTGAAAACCAAACTAAATGCAATGGCATGCACATCCATGTGTTTATAGAATAATTGTTTTAATGACACAGAATGCAAGTTTTGATGATTCAGTTTAAGGAGCAAAAGGAATCATTCTTGCTTACAGAAAAAGATTCACTTCCAATATTAAAACCCATTTGATAAAAAAAAACATAATGGTACAGGACAAAGATAATAAGGGAAGGGGCTATTTCTTATCTTTAACATTATCTAGATTTTGTAAATTCCCCTGATCAGCATCAAAATATTAAAAGTATATAATTTTGTGATAGAAGTGTACCTGCCTGTGCATTTTGATTTCCAACAGGCGGTGATTTCCCTTATTAAGAAGGTAATTGTATTTCCTTTTTAAAAATGTCAATAGATTTTCTTCTGAATACATTTAACAAAAAAAAAAAATCAATGTAAAAAAGTTCGTGCTATTTGCATGAACCCCCTAGTGTAAAACGTGATTGCATCCTAGTTCTTTTGCTTAATTATTAAGAAAAATCAAAACAGAAAATCAGCACAACTGATTAGCATTGCTAAAGTGGTCATATTAGCAATAAAATGTAGAAGGTATATTTAACTCTTACTATTTACAATACCAAGGCACCCATTTTAAAATCATATGTTAGAAGAATAAAGATTGTTTGATAATACATCAAATATTTTATATATTTCAATAATACAACATTGAGAATGTACCCTATAAAGAAGACTTACATTTAATATAATGGTGATGTACATAATAAAGATACCTAGTGACTACTATTCAGGCCCTAGCCAGGTTTCTGTTGAGTGGTAGAATAACTCAGTATTAAATTAATGTAATGAGGACATTCCAGAACAATCAAGAAATACAGGTTGTCCTCACTTAACGATGGTAATTGGGACTGGCAACTCCATCACTAAGCAACAGTCATAAATTGTGATGTCACATGAATGCACTGACTTACGACAGCAGTTGCGACAGTTCTACTTGCTGTTTTTAAGCGAATCATTAGGTGCAATGTCACGTGATCACCATTTGTGATCTCCTGCCAGCTTCCCCATTGACTTTGCTTGTTGGAAGCCGGCAGTGAAGATTGCAAATAATGATCACGGGACTGCAGGACACTGCAACCATTGTAATTGCAAGCCGGTTGCCAAGCATCTGAATCGCAATCGTGACTGTGGGGATACTGCTACAGACGTAACTATGAGGACCGTAAGTCTCCTTATTCAGAGCTGTTGTAAGCCTTCATGGTCACTTCAGAGATGTCATTTCTCAATTTTAAGTTGTGACTACCCAAAGGCTTTGGGCTGTTAACAATCCCCAATGACTACTTCCAAAGGCTCTTGGCAGCTAACAATCAAGTTCAGCATAAAATAAAAATAACCTCTTAAAAATTATACATAAGCCCACCCATAATATAAAGAAAATCAACATCAAAATAGTAAACAGAATTATGCACCCACCAGATTCTAACATTCACTCACATACCCTCCTCCTGCACATGATGGAACAACCAGGTCTTAACTGCTCCTCTTAAGTGCAGGAGAGAAACAGCAGACCAGATCTCCAGGGGAAGGGAATTGTAAAGTATTGGGGCAGTCATCAAAATTATTGCTCTCAAGGTCCTTGTCTCACGTAGACAAGATCTGGACAGAGTTGACCCTAGCAGATATGATAGTATGGGCAGATGAAAATGGAAGAAGACAGTTCCTAAAACAAAACCCAGTTCAAAGCCACACAGGGCTTTAAAGATGACAAGCAACATCTTGAATTATACCCAGAAGCCAAATGGCAACCAATAAAGCTCCCAAAGCAATAGATTTACTCAAGTATGTCAGGATATATCCATCACTACCCGTGCTGCCAATTTTTTTACCAGCTGTAGCATTCAAATGCTTTCCAAGAGCAGCCTCATACAGGGTGCATTAAAATAATCCCAGAGTGAAGTTACTAATACATGACTATAAGCAGGATTCCTCCCAATCTAGGAATGGCTATAATCAGCAATTAAGAGATCTATATACTACTAAAACTCTCATGTCTATTTGTCTGTTTGTAACCTTCAATTGGGTGAAATGGTGCATCATAGGGCGACAATTTTTGAACCAAGGTACCTCAAATGGGCTTACAGAATGCATCCAAAATCCAGGACCCATTACTCCTTTGGGATTGAAATTTGGCAAAATTGTGGCTGCTTCAGTACCACCACGCTGCTGCAGTCAGCAACAGTAACATAATCATCATTTCCAGCGCTTTCTGACAGCTTCCCACAAGTCAACGGGAAAGTTGGCAGGAAGTCTAAACTTGATCACGATTGCCGATGCTCCCTGCCAACTTCCCATAAGCAAAGTCAATGGGGAAGCTGGCAGGAAGTTGGAAGTCCAAGGCCAGCAAGCAGGTAAGTGGCTGCTGCTGAGTGGGGGAGGGTGGGAGGGGATGCCCAAGAGGTGCAGAAAGGGTCAGGGAGGGCACAGCACAGGTCGAGGAGGGTGGATACACAAATGGCCAGTGCAGCATGAGTGCAAGGGACTGGGGAAGGGTGTGTGGG